TTTATTGAACATGTCAGAAACAAAAACATACAACAATAATATATATATATATATTCTCTTTTTTCCTTTTTTTCTCACTCAAATTAATAATTATAACAAAGTACAAAAAAAACAAATAATAAAAAAACAATAATAATTCTCAAATAGTCTCTGTCATGTTCAACAGGGGCAAGAAGAAGCTTAAAAAAACGTTTCTGGTCCTACCCCCTCTAGCATATATTTTTCTTATAAATAAAATATTAGGTCATCGTCATCAGCGACATGTTTGTCTTGTTAATTTGTTTACTTTTTGTTTTTTTACAAAACAATCAGAAAGAAATTACTTTTACAAAAAATAACAACAAATGGGATTTTACAGGTCCTTTTCATAACCATTAATGATTTGGCTCCTAAATAATACTTTCAGTTTAGATAGACTTGTACAATATTTCAGTGCATCATTACAGTTATTCCACAGACTAACACCTTTTGATGAGATGCAATGAAGTTTGGCATTTGTTCGTACGGGTGGTTTTTTGAAAATGCAGTTTCCTCTCAACATGTACATGCTTTCTCTCCGTGTGAAAAGTCCCTGGATATTATGAGGTAATTGTTGATTTGCGGCTTTGAACATAATTTGAATAGTTTTATAGTCAACCAGGTCTTGTAGTTTTAGTGTTTTTAGTTTGATGAATAATTTATTTGTTGGTTCTCTGTACGTAGTTTTATGTATAACTCGTATGGCTCTTTTTTGCAGGATGAAGATAGGATGTGTATTTGTTTTATATGTGTTCCCCCAAACTTCCACACAATACATCATGTATGGAAGTATGAAGGAGCAGTACAACATAAACAAAGAAGCTTGATTAATTAGGTATTTGGCTTTATTCAGAATTGCTATTGATTTGGATATTTTGGCTTTGATATAGCTTATATGTGGTTTCCAACTTAATTTATTGTCTATGATTACTCCAAGGAATTTTATTTCCGATACTCTTTCTAATTGGACGCCATTTATAGTGAGTTTCTTCTCTGTATTGGTCGATCGATTCCCAAATATTATGAGTTTGGTTTTGCTTGCGTTCAATGTTAATTTATGTTGGTCAAACCAGATCTTCATCCTGCTCAGTTCCTTCTCCATTGTGACCAATAGCTGTTCTAAATTGTCCCCACAGCAGAGTAGACTTGTGTCGTCTGCACACACTGTAAAATATTACCATGATTTCACAAGCTGTAATATTTTACAATAAATTACTGTTTTACCACTTTACAGTCTTTACCTGTGATGTTCACAATATAATACTGTAATTTTGAATTTCACAGTGAAATCAATACATTCACAGTTAATTACTGTGAATGTACAGGATCAATGATTACCAGGATTTCACAACATGTTATTGTATTATTTCATAGTAAAATACTGTATTCAGCTCCGTACTATGGGAGACCGGGCCTTCTGCTCGGCTGCTCCCAGTCTGTGGAATGCTCTCCCCGACCAAATGAGAGCACCACAGACCGTGGAGGCTTTTAAAAAAGGCCTCAAAACCCATCTCTTCAAAAGAGCCTTTGCCTAGACCTTTTTATCACCCTTTTATTTATTTTATTGCTTTTTATTAATTCTACCGTGTTGTGTAATGTTTATTTATACTTTCATGCTCACTACTTGTAGCACTTCGGGATTTGAAATCAAATATGAAGTGCTTTATAAATGGAACCCATTATTATTATTATTATTATTATCCTCTGTGATAATACAACAAATTAAGTGATTTTCTTGCTTTTATCGCTCTTGCTTGGCTTTAAATACTCGTTTCTTTCTTTGGTGCAGGTTTTACTTAAATTTCACCGCTGCATGTGCCTTAAAATAAACGATGCAACATATCAATCTATGTAAAATTGAAATTGTTGTCTTGGCTTATTGTTTTCAGGTGCTTCCTGGGCATTAATCCTGAGACGGGCTCGAAAGCCAAAAAGAGGCATGGCAATTTAAACCCCCATGTCAGCACATTCTTCAGAAAAATGGTTGACTTCGAGTGGATGTCTATGTAGACATGTGTTACGTGCTCCCTTCCTTGATTTATTTTCTGTCTCCCTGCTGCGCAGGTGCACATGGGCCAATTCTCATTTAATCAAATCCCCCTCCTCGACTCCTCGGTCCTCCGGTAGTGACCCGGAAATGAATTTCAGCTCGCCATGTTGAAGGACATCTCATTTCTCTAAATGCACTTCGAGGACCGAGCATCGAGCGTCGAGGAGGCTCTCTGGAGGAGCTATAACCGAGGATACACTGATGGGTCCTCCACGGTCCTCCACGGCTCCTTTGTGGATGCATTTCCGGGAACAGAGATGTTTCAAAAGAGGTTTCTCAATACTCAAATTTCCCCTCCTCGACTCCTATCCTCAACTCCCCTCCTCGAGACTTGGTGCCGCCCACAGGAGATGCGAGCGGAGGACTGAGGAGGGGAACCGAGGAGAGAGGAGTGGAAGCAGCAGGCGGTTAGAGAAATGAGAACTCCTCTCCTCTGAGCGGTCATTTTAAAGAGACGTCCATTATTGATGACAGGAGGCACAGCAGCCCTGATGGACAGATGTGTTCATGATGACTTATATAATTACTTTTAATTCATTCACAGTGCGGTATAATGAGACAATAACAGGCTACAGATGCGGACATATACACACACATATATTTATATAAATATATACAATTTCAGAATCAAACAAGTATGAGAGCACTCTCATAATAACGTAACACAATCAGAGACTGGATATATCCCCCCCACCCCTCTCTCTGGTCGCTGAAATGGGGAATTGAAATTACGGGCCAAAAGTTGTATAAGTATTAAAAGTAAGCATAGGACACCAAACCAACTGAGACCCGTCTGTCCGCCGCATCTACGCACTGTACAACACACACCTACACACTACCACACACACACCTACACACTGTACCACACACACCTACTCCTCCTAAAGCATAATCAGGCTACAGCCGGTGTGTATTTTATTATGTGAAGCACTAAATGGTCTCAGAAAAATATCGACTCTTTGTTTGTAGATATCTACTAAACTACAGCATACAAATACAGAAAGTAATGTAGGCCTGTTATACTGAGTGATATATATTTTACACACTGCTCTGCTTTCTGCACGGACCTCACAGCTGTTCTCACTGTAAACATCGCGTTGCGATGAAAGCAGTTACTAATATAATATCCAAGGGATGCATGCAGAGCTGTCATTGGCTGAGATAAGTCCGGCCGTGCGTCACGCCTCCACCGTTCAATCAATCAATCAATCAATCAATCAATCAATCAATCAATCAATCAATGTTTATTTATATAGCCCAATATCACAAATGTTACATTTGTCTCAGTGGACTTCACAGTTTGTACAAAATATCAGTATGACAATACGACACCCTCTGTCCTTAGACCCTCACATCGTACTAGGAAAAACATCCGGAGAAAACCCACAGTTTTAAAGGGAAAAATGGGAGAAACCTCTGGGAGAGCAACAGAGGAGGGATCCCTCTCCCAGGACGGACAGACGTGCAATAGATGCCGTGTGTAAATTGAAAAGATAATACATTTGCAACATAGGTAATCCAAATGTTTGGAAATGCATGTGTGTATAATAGGAAGATGAATCCACGAGGATAGTGGACCACAGTCACGACTCAAGATCCAGGGACCGCAGGATCATCCATGACTCCGGATCCCAGTGTATATAGACACCAAAAAGAAAGAAATTTGGGGAAGCTGGGTTAATCGGAACATGAGAGTACACAGGTATAGACAGATAGAAGGAATACGTAAGATGTCCCCCGACAAACTAAGCCTATATCAGCAAAACTAGGGGTTGAATCTAATCAGCCCTAACTATAAGCTTTATCAAAAAGGAAGGTCTTAAGCGCACTCTTAAAAACGGATAGGGTGTCTGCCGCCCGAACACAAACTGGAAGCTGATTCCACAAATGTGGAGCTTGATAAGAAAAGGCTCTGGCTCCCATTGTACTTTTAGAGACTCTAGGAACAACCAACAACCCTGCATTCTTGGAACGCAATGCCCTAGTACACTGTAAAAAAAAGATCGTAATTTTACAGGAAATAACTGTAAATTTGTATAGTAATTATCATGTTTTTTTAAATAACTTGCAAAATCCTGTAAAATGACAGATATTAACTATAAATTAACAACCCAAAACATTATTTGAAGTATTTTGACAATAACAACAAATAACGTTTATTTCGTCTTTTTTTTACTGTAAATTTACTATATAATATTTACAGTATTTTTGCACTTTCAGAAAATACATGCAGATGTACGTAAAATAAAATGTTTTTATCTGTAATTAAATATGTAACTCGTAATATAAAAGTGTATTACTATTATAAGACTTTAAGATGTTCTTTGTAATTTTAAGGTAAACATAAAACTGTAAGAAAAGCGTAAAATAAAAAAAACGTAAAATGTAAGTAAAACATTTTTACATAAATCATTTTCTCAATATTCGATTGAATCCAACAAAAACACAAAATATCCAATGTTGAAACAAACGTAAATAAATATGTTTTCATGAAATTCCTAACTTACTATATTGTAAACATCTACAGTTGACAATATCATTAAAAAAAAAAATCATAGAAAGTGGAGAAATCTCTGCAGGGAGGACCAAGGTTTAAAACACACACTGTTATTTACTCAACAATAAGTCACAGTTATCCTTGTTTTATTTATGTGTTCTGTTGCTGTGTTTTTTTTCCATTGGTCAATTTACAGTAATAAACCTTAGTTTTACAGTATAATGTATGGTTTTCGGATTCTGGCCGACAGCCAGAGCTACGGCACTTGAAATAGAATTCAGCCAAAACACGGCAGACAAGTCAGGCATGTTTGGAATGAGTCCACAACACTCCTGATTGGTTAATATAAACATCATCGAAGAAACTTGCCAATGAGAACTGTCCGCGCCTGTCGTTCACATTTGAAACATCCAAGTCAGTTTGAGCGGGTCTCCTCCTGCTGGAGCTACAGCTATCTGTGTGTCTGTTACTGGAGTTTATGGATTCATATCGGGATCGTTTTACATCTACACGTTAAATATGAGCATCGGGACGTCAACAAAGAACAGAAGACTTGAGATCTGGTGAGTCCTGCAACTGTAATGGAGTTAAACATGTATTTAGATAATCCTTACTTAGTTTGTGAATGTTTTATTTTTTATTTAAGGTTACGTTTCTTCTTCTAGTTAGCTGAGTTTCTTCCCGTTAAGTTGGTATGCATAATTAATAGGTTGTTAAATGTTAAGAATCCCTGAGATGCTGTTTCTTGCAAGATGTTGCGCCCGGGAAACCCGGCTTAACATGCGGCTGCTAACGTTAGTTTACAGTTTATTGCAGTGCCGCCCCCCCCCACCCTCTCGTCTCCAACATGGGATAATTACACATAAACATGCAGTGGGGTATCACAGTGTTGTCGCCAAGTTTAATGTAAAGTTTCACAGCTTTCTTACAGCGGAATCTAGTTTGTTAATGTTCAGTAGCCAACAGCTAGCATAGCATAAACAGCTAACCGCTAACGTTCGGCTAATTTGCTAGTTAGCTCTGCTCTATATATTACACGATAACATGACTAGCTAATGTCACACTGAACTAAAATACTTTTTGTATTACTACATCATACATGCTTGGTCCAAATCACTGCTAAAATTAATTATTTTTGAAAATGTATAGTAAAGAAACACTCAGCCATGCATGAAATAACATAGCAAAAGAATACGGGTAATGTTTGACCCATGTTGTGCCTTAGAAGTGTAGTGATACAAACATGATTTTTATTCAAAAAGTAAGAAAGGGACAAATACAAATTTAGAATTGGTGTTGATCCAAAACATGTTAATTGAGGAATACCTGGGATCCTGAATGGTTAAAGTAATTTATTGCAAAGATATTTACAATTAAAACTAATTCGGGTCACTTTTGACACATGTTGGTTGTATGTTGTGTAACAAAGGGTTAACGTGACAGCTGTGATGTTCACTCTTTTGACAGAGCACCAGTGGACAGCGAAGACTATGGAAGAGAAGATGTGATGGTTTTGTGTGGAAAGCTGCTAACGCCAGCCTGTGTCCCTCTCATCAGTCTCTCCAGGCAGCACCCAGCTATTCTTGCAGATGAAAATACTTTGATATGTGAGTAATAACTAACTTGTGTCTAACATAATATTGAATGTGGTTTAGTAAAGTATTTAAAAATACCCCACATTGTACATGTACAGGACAATCAGACCTTGTTCAACAAAGATCATCAGACAATTGTTTTGTCTTTAAGGTACAGCTGCAGCAGAGAGTCTTGAGTTTGAAGAAAACACTAACATTTTATTTAGTGTTGTTTAATCAATCAATATTTACTGGTCTTGAATTTCCTCACTGTATTACAAAATGCTCGAATCTTATTGTACAGGAACATTATGCAGATTTCATCACCTGAAGATAAAAATATAGATTCAGCGATATGTACCATTTTAAGGAAATAGACTGTTAGCGGTATTTACTAAAGCTCCGCAGCTGTAGCTAGGCGCTGCTAATGAAAACTCAAGTGCTCAATTTGTTGGTTTTTATTTTTTATTAAGAATTGACCAAGCATATCTTCCTCTTCGAAATCCCAGTTGTACTTCGCTAACACGCAGTGCCTGGGAGGGTGCGTTTGATTGTTCCCACAATAGTGCGTGCTTGTGCTTCAAAGGTCCATCATACAAGATGTAGGGGATCTATTGGCAGCTGCTGATAATAACATCCATCATTATGGTTTACTAATAGTTATCACTTCACTTCCTCCTCCAGCATCTGGACACAGCAGGAACCTACGCCAGGATCCTGTTTGTGGACTTCAGCTCTGCCTTCAACACAACACTCTGGCTGGAGGCTGCGCTCCATCAGGACCAACACCTCTCTCCCTCAGGACCAGAACCTCTCTCCATCAGGACCAACACCTCTCTCCATCAGGACCAACACCTCTCTCCATCAGGACCAACACCTCTCTCCATCAGGACCAACACCTCTCTCCATCAGGACCAGAACCTCTCTCCATCAGGACCAGAACCTCTCTCCATCAGGACCAAAACCTCTCTCCATCAGGACCAAAACCTCTCTCCATCAGGACCAAAACCTCTCTCCATCAGGACCAACACCTCTCTCCATCAGGACCAGAACCTCTCTCCATCAGGACCAGAACCTCTCGCCACCTCAACAAGGCCCCCCCCCCCCACTGACACTTTACCTCAGCCACAACGCAGACTCTATGCATTACATAATGGAGATCACAGGATGGTAAATAATGCAATGTTTAAATATTGCTTACTGCACATATTTTATATTCTATAATTTATTGCATTCTATTTCGATGTAAGTTACTGCTTTATTTTATTTCTATCTTACTATATTTTTATTACAGTGTTCTTAATATAGTTCGCTATCTGTGTACTTTTTAATTTTTTTTATTTGTATGTCGTGTGTCCAGGTGTCGTGGTGCACGACACCTAGTCAAATTCCTCGTACGTGTGAACCTACCTGGCAATAAACCCGTTTCTGATTCTGATCGGTTTGTCCTCTAGGTTGCACTGCCACGTCTACAGTAGCGCAGAATGGACAAAGGAAACATGATTGGGCCTCAAGTTTTTTGCAGCCAATATTCATTATCCTACAGGGGCGGCTAGTGGAGTACTTCGTGACCACAAAGTGTGAACGTTGTGATCAGCTGTTTTAGCGCAGTTCTCCAGTGAAGGGGGGGGGGGAGTCTCCCTCCGCAGCCGGTTGGCGTAGTTTGGGCACAATTCCGTTGTACAGACCGACGTTAACAGCAGCCCTGTCTGTGCACACGGAGACCGACTCTCGTCCGGTGATCTAACCGCCTTCTGGAAAAGCTTCACAAGTACGTCGGTAAGCAAATGCGCTTTGTGACACAAGTGACGGTACGCATTTCAGATTACGCACATAACCTGCGTACCAGTTATGTGCACCCCTGTACTACAGCAAAAGTATTCTCCGTCGGGACTTCCTGCAACAACACCACGCCGTTATCAAAGATGTTCTATTGAGAAGACGATCACTACGTGACAAAAGTTTTCAAAACCGTGGCTACTGAAATCAATCTTACTAACTGCTGTCTGTGAAATTTACTCCGCGAGTTGGCAGACTTTATTTTGCTTTAACATCATTTTTCATGGTGGGGCTAAGCCATTTCTTGGTATGGGTGAAGCCTACCCCAGCCATACCCTGGCGCTGCCACTGGTGGCACGTATGGGGCGGGCCATTCTGCACATGCGTTAAATGCGTTAAATATTTTAACGCAATTAATTAAAAAAATTAATTACCGCCGTTAACGCGATAATTTTGACAGCACTCATTTTAAGTTTTCAGAGTAATTGTTTCCTACAGAACATTTTGTGATGTCATTTTGTTGAACCTGTTTGATTGGAAAATGTTAGAAAAAAGCTGTAAGATAACAGTATTCTAACTTTAGGTTCTGTATTTATTTTAGTGTTTGATCATACAAATCTAATAAAAAAAAATGTAAACTGTTTTTCTCATCAGAACTTTATTTAAGGTATTTTAATGTAACATTTTAAGACAATGGATTTTGAAAAGAGAGGAAAGTTTCCTCTAAAATCTTTAAGGACAATTTCTGTATACTAATTGCTTTTGCACTTTATTTCAGTTAATGTATTTTTACTTTAATTTAATGTTTTTTGTTTGGCAGCCGCTGCTGCCAGTCATTTGACCGTTTTTTTTACGGGTTTTTTGCCCGTAGAAGTTTTAGTGCTGTACTTTTATTAAATGTTATTGACTGTAAAAAGAGAGGATAAATCTGTAAAATTACAGTGTTTGCACGTTAAAATATTAGTGCTGTACTTTTATTAAATGTTATTGACTGTAAAAAGAGAGGATACATCTATAAAATTAGAGTATTTGCCTGTAGAAGTATGAGTGATGTTCTTTTATTTAAGGTTATTGACTGTAAAAAGAGAGTATAAATCTGTAAAATTACAGTGTTTTCCTGTAAAATCTTTAAGGACAATTCCCGTAAATTAATGGCTTATTCACTTTATTTCAGTTAAAGTATTTTACTTTAATTTAAGGGTTTTTGTTTGGCAGCCGCTGCTGCCAGTACTTTGACCGTTTTTTTACGAGTTTTTTTTTTACAGTGTAGGACAGTAGGGTATAATGAGTTATTTGAGGTAAGATGGTGCCTGCCCATTAAGGGCTTTGTAGGCGAGAAGAATAATTTTAAATTCTATCCTGTTTTCTATAGCGAGCCAGTGTAAGGCAGCCAGAACAGGAGTAATGTGGTCCCTTTTCCTAACTCTGGTTAGTACACGAGCTGCAGCATTTTGAATCAGCTGACTGACTGACTTGACTGACTTCTTGGTACACCCTGATAATAAAGAGTTACAATAATCCAGCCTAGAAGTAACAAATGCATGGACTAGTTTCTCTGCATCGTTTGGAGGCAAGATATGCCTGATTTTTGCAATGTTACGTAGATGGAAGTAGGCGGTCCTTGAAATTGATTTTATGTGGGCGTTAAAGGATAAATCCTGATCAAATATAACACCAAGATTCCTTACAGTCTCACTGGAGGCCAAATGAATGCCATCCATAGTTAGTATATCTTTAGATAATTTGTTTCGTAGATTCTTCAGGCCAAGTACAATAACTTCAGTTTTGGTCGTGTTTAACATCAAAAAGTTTAAGGTCATCCACGTTCTTAAGTCCTTGAGGCAGTCTTGAATTTTATTTCGATGATTAATTTCATCAGGCTTGATTGATAAATATAGTTGAGTATCATCCGCATAACAATGACAATTTACAGAATTATTCCTTATAATATTGCCTAACGGAAGCATATATAATGTGAACAAAATAGGTCCGAGCACTGAGCCCTGTGGCACTCCATGGCTAACTTTGGTTTGCGTGGAAGATTCATCATTGACACGTACAAACTGAGAGCGTTCAGATAGATAGGACCTAAACCAGCCTAAAGCAGTTCCCTGTATGCCAACTAAGTGCTCTAGTCTTTGCAATAAGATATCATGATCGATAGTATCAAATGCAGCACTGAGATCGAGCAAAACAAGAATAGAGACAAGTCCCTTGTCAGAGGCTATTAGAATGTCATTTATGACTTTAACCAGAGCTGTCTCTGTGCGATGATGTGTTCTAAAGCCAGACTGAAAATCTTCAAATAAATCATTGTTTTTTAAGTAATCACACAGCTGTTTTGCGACTGCTTTCTCAAGAATTTTTGAGAGGAACGGAAGATTAGAAATAGGTCTATAATTGGCTAAAACCTCTGGATCGAGGTTGTGCTTTTTAAGAAGCGGTTTTATCACTGCTACTTTGAATGATTGTGGAATATAGCCTGATAATAAAGACATATTCATAATATTTAATAAAGAAGTGCTAATTAATGGAAAAACTTCCTTCAACAGCTGAGTTGGAATTGGGTCTAACATACACGTTGATGGTTTAGAAGAGAGAATCATTGAATTTCATTTTTCAAGGTTTATGGCTGAAAAGCATTCTAGTTTACTAGATTCTAGTGTAATATTAGAACTTACGTTTCCGGGAGCTGTTGATAACACTATACTGGTCAAAGGCAAGAGGTCATTAATTTTGTTAATAAGAGTAACAATTTTATCGTTAAAAAAGCACATAAAATCATTACTACTGAGTGCTATGGGAATAGAAGGCTCAATCGAGCTATGGCTCTCTGTCAGCCTGGCTACAGTGCTGAAAATAAATCTTGCATTATTCTTATTCTCATCTATTAATGAAGAGTAGTAGGCTGCTCTCGCTTTACGCAATGCTTTCTTATATTCATTGAGAGTAATATGCCAAATTAAACGAGATTCTTCAAGTTTAGTGGAACGCCATATCCTTTCAAGTTGTCTCGACTTTTGCTTTATTTTGCGGGTTTCGGCATTATGCCATGGAGCTAATCTATGTTGTTTTATTTTCTTCTTTTTCAAAGGAGCAACAGAGTCTAATTTTATTCACAGCGCATCTTTGGGGTGGTGTACATTTTGTATAAGTTTCCTCCCCTACATGCAGACATGCTATCGAGTTAAATATTGGTGGAATCTCTTCCTTAAATTTGGCTATAGCACTAACAGATAGGTTTCTGCTGCAGGAGCTTTTGACTAATGCTTTGTAGTCTCGTAACAATACTTCAAAAGTTACTAAGAAATGGTCGGATAAAGCAGGATTATGTGGTTCGACTAATAGTTGCTCAATTTCCATACCATAAATCAGAACAAGGTCGAGAGTGTGATTATAGCAGTGGGTTGGTTTATTTACACTCTGACAAAAACCAACAGAATCTAATATAGAGTTAAATGCAACAGTAAGGCTATTTTTATCATCGTCAACATGAATATTAATATTCTTAATAATTTAATTTTGGTTTAGTATTAATAAGTAAACTTGAGTCAAAGATTGCTGCAACTCCACCTCCTCGGCCCGTGCCTCGGGCAATATGAGTATTGATATGGCTGGGTGGAGTGGCCTCATTTATGCTGACATATTCTTGATGTCTCAACCAAGTTTCAGTGAGACAGCATATATTAATATTATAATCTGATATTAAATCATTTACCAATATTGCTTTAGATGCTAGAGATCTTATGTTTAAGAGACCACATTTAATCTTCCTGTTTTGTTGCACTGTAGTAGTTGTTACATGTACTTTTATTAGGTTATTATGTATGACACCTCTATTAGGTTTTACCTTAAATTGTCCTTGGGCAGACGCACACACCGCTAATATTGAGTATTTTATTGGGTTCGGGATTCCTATGGATGACTGCCTAGGAGAGAGCGCAGAGAAGCGTGTAAAACTGCGACTCCGCCTCCTGGTCTCAATTCCAGTTTGTCATGGATTAAGTCCACAAAGCCCTGAAATGTTTGCCGAAATGAGATTTGCACCTTCCAAAGTAGGATGAATGCCGTCTCTCTTAATCAGACCAGGTTTTCCCCAGAAGGCTGTCCAATTATTTACGAAACCCACATTGTTTGCT